CGGCTCCCACTGCTAAATGCACTCAGAGAAAGGGGCATGGCGAGGCACATGCCCCCCTGATTTGTCCATGGGAGGGCAGGTGCACATTGCCCACTGTGGGCTCAGGGGTCCCCACCATGCTGCTCTCCCTGGGAGCTCTGCACTGGCCAGGCTGCCATGGTGAGGCATCTCTTGGTCGACCAGCAGCAGCAGGGGTGGCGGCAACATGGAGTTGTGCCTCCTATTGCTGCGGGGTGGGCAGGGGGTGCATGGCTGGTGCAGGACTCCTGAGGGAAAGGCAGCAGGATGGGGAGTCCCAAGCCCACAGCAGGCAGCCCACTTCCATCCCTGCTCAACTCTGCTCCAGTCATGCTGCAAGCGCAGGCAGGAAGGCTGGAAGGGAAGAGAAGCGGGCACATGTTCCAGCTTTCCATTTTGAAAAGGTGGTCACCCTAGAGGTGGGGTGAGAGGGAGGGTGTGGGGGGGTGTGGGCATGGTAGGGTGTGGGTGTGGGTGGGTACGGTTGGGGCGTGAGTGCTTGTGGGGTGGGTTGGGTGTGTGCATGTTGGGGGGCTCGGGCAGTGCAGATGCAGTCTGCATCCTCCCCGCCCCCCAGCCACTCCCTAGCACTCCTCATGGGACTGAGCCCCACCTGCAGCAGCCCCCACCCCGCCTGCACTGGCCCCAAGCCCAATGCTCCTGGTGGCCCCGCATTCCCGCTAGCTCTACACTCCAGCTGACTCTGGCCTCGGCCTCATGCTCCTGCAGGCTCTGCACTCCCACTGGCTCTAATCTCATGATTTCAGCAACCCCAGCCCTGGCCAGCTCCAGCCCCATGCCCCTGTCATCTCTGCACTCCCGCCCTCCTGCCAGCCCTGGCCCTGCACTTCTGCCAGACCTGCACTCCCGTTGGCCCCATCCCCGTGCTCCCACTGGCTCTGGCCCCATGCTCCCGCCAGCTCTGCACTTCTGGACACCAACTGCAGCTTCTCCCCGCACAACCCACCACTACTTCCCCTTCCTACCTGTTGCCCAAAGTGCTGCAGCAGGAACAGGAGCTGCTGGAGGTGGCGGGAGCCAAGCAGTTCCCTGGGCAGCAGCAGCCCCACCCCAAAGCTGCATGTGTTGGCTGGGGCTGAGGCTGAGGCTCTCAGGTGGGCAAGGGTGGGAGCACAGCAGGCCAGATTCAATCAGCTGGCAGGCCAGATCCAGCCCGTGGGCTGTATTTTGCCCACCCCTGATTTAGACCCTCTTTCCTGACATGAAATGGGTTCAGGACAATTCACTAAAACGATCCAAGTCCTTCTTGAAGGGACGAAGCCAATAAACAGTAATGAGAAACCCCACAATTAGACCCTTCACTTGCAGATGCACACAATGATAAATTCCCTATGAAAGTACGAACAATATAGGGACAACAGCTCTATCTGTTTTTCAGCGCAGCTGACCAGACTAATACCAAAGATGGCCCAGCGTGCGAACAAGATCAGCTCCTGGCTGGCTGGCTGGAGCTGAATCTGAGCAAAGCAAAAGCCATGCTGATGGGCAGAGGAAAATCCTTTTGAATAGTTCACAGCTACTGCACAGCCATCTTTGTTTATAGGTGAACACCCACAAAATTGATCATTAGTCACTGGATACAGGTTGTAGCCGTACTGGTCTGCGGGCAAAAAGAACCAGACCCCGTGGCAGAGGGAAGCTGGCTAGAACAGCAGTGCTGAGACCCCAGGACCATGTCATTCGGCTCTGAGGGCTCCCTATGTGTCTAAAAATATGGCAGCACCCCTTCTCCCCTGCTGCCAAATTTCCAGGCCCGCAGGGAGCCCCAGGACCTGAACACTAGATTGGGCACACAATCCCAGCGTACAGGTTTGTGTGGGAGCAATGCTGGGCCCCAGGGCCCAATCCTAAATCATAGGGCCTAGAAGGGACTGTGCAGTCCCAATCCCAGCATATGGGAGGAACAGTGAGCCTCTAAGGCCCGATCCTGGCAAGCAGGGCCAAACATGCCCTGATCCCAGGGTGCACAAACCACGCAAGGCTACGCAGGGCCCTATCTGGGTGCATGGTGCCCAAATCTGGCACACAGGTGTCAATCCAGCCCGTGGACCGGCTCCACACCACTAGTGGACTTCAGCACTATTTTTAGGCACAAAACCTTGATTGCTTCAGAAAGCTCATCCACCTGTCACATGCTGCATCCCATCTCCTCAACAACAAAGGCTAATCATAAGCATGTCAAGCTGCCCTGTTCTCTCTCCCGGCTTCCTATAAATTCTGAATCAAGTTCTAGGTCTGTGCTCCAAGCCCAGGATACCCAAAAGACAACCTGAAGCCCTTGTCCAAAGACCACTCAAACTCCTCTGGCATAATGAAACACTCCACAAGAAGGGTAATATGCGTCTTTATAAAGAACAAAATGATCAGCCTCTACACCAAATTGTGGCAAGGAGTTCCACAAGCTAATTTACATACCGTGTGAAAAAAAATTCTTTAGGCTTGTTTTGCTTCCTAATAGTTTTATTCTGTATCCCCTACTCCTAGTGCTTACTGAATAACAAATCCCCATTTAATTTCTCGACCTCATCTTCTCTAATACATAT